AATTATGAGATAACATGATAAATCGGATTGATTACGTAATACAAATATGATAAATTAAATTTTATCGTATTCTCCTTGTCTTTAGCTGCATCATATATTAGTAATTAGTTTTGAGTTAATAACTTGCCAAATAATTAATAATTATTATAACTATTAATAATTTTAAAAGTCCCATCGCTAGTTGAAAGTATCTAAAAAGTTTATATCTGCAGATTTGTGAAATTGGGATTAAATAAGTATATAAAAATAATTTAAGGAGTAATTAACCATAATGATACAATTTATTCCTTAAATTATACATAAATATTATAAAAATGTTATAAAACTTGCACTAAATAGAAATCATATATATATTTTTAGTTACTGAAATTGAGGATGTATTTTACTAACCCAATTTCAAAAGTTTGCTAATATGTTTATTGCGTTACAGTATTTTAATACAGTATAATACAGTATTATGGCATAATTTAAAGTTTTTTTAATATCAAGTTCGGCTGGCTTAAATCTATTATAGTTGACACCTCTGAGAAACACATTCGGGAGTTATCTTCCCCAGGATTGCTAAATAATTTTTTATATTCACGTGATATGCACACCAATCAAATTACAGTATTCTGACACTATAATGATCTACATACTGCAAGTTGATAATTATCAATCTTAATGCGATAAAAAAAAAATTGTTAAATAAAACGTATACTTAAGAAATTTGTTAAATGGGCAAAGCTAAAAAAGAAAAAAATAGAATTATTAGGGAACAAAGCAATGGTGGCCTGGCTACTTCTACGGTGGCAAGTAACTTAAAAGTAAAAGGAGAGAATTTTTATCGAGATGCAAAAAAAGTCAAATTTGTCAAAATGCTCAAAGGGGGGAAGGCGATAAGGAATTCAAAAGGAAAAATTGTTAAATCGGCACCTTATCAAAGCAAGGATGTTACAATCGCAAGAGTACAGCCAGATAGGCGATGGTTCGGTAAGTTAAAGTGATGATTAAGCGTGAGTTCTTGATTAGGGATAGGAATCGGCTATATGATTTAGTCGACTAAATCGACTAAACATAGTAATTTACATATAAATTTTTTAGTCGACTAAATCGATTCCTATCCCTATTCTTGATTATCAATGGGTAGATACTTGAAACGTTTATATATTAATGGCTTTTAAATGGTGCTTTAAGGTTATTTGATTCGTACTTTTTATATATTTGAATTGCGATCGAAATTATTAGACATTTTATTCTGATCTTATTATAATTCATTAGTACTAACAATCCAAACTATTAATAGGTAACACTAGAGTCATCGGTCAAAAACAATTAGAGGATTTTCGCGAAAGTTTGGGAACAAAGGTTAATGATCCTTATCAAGTACTACTTCGACAAAATAAATTGCCCATGAGTTTATTAATTGATCCGGCAAAAGTACGTAATCTATTCTTTACAATCAATTGTTCTCTTTTATCATCATGCAAAGTATAAACTTCCGATACGCATGTGTATAGATATCACGAATGCATATGGTCGATACGGAACCATTTTCAGATACTTTCGGCCCGAAAGCACAACGAAAACGACCAAAATTGAACGTTGGCTCTTTAGAAGATTTAGTGAACAGTACTAGTCAATCTTTGGAACATTATGAGGAGAAAAACGATCAATCATTATTATCTAACAAAATAACAGATTGGATTGACGAAGCAAGAGATAGTGTATTTTCTAAAGGGCAATCCAGGCGGATATGGAACGAGCTATATAAGGTATATTATATTTGTACTACAATACATGTATTTATGAACGATCATTGAATATAGCATAACGCATCTTGTTATTTTTAATGAACGTACAAAGGTTATAGATTCGTCAGATGTTGTAATTCATGTATTGGACGCTCGTGATCCCATCGGTACACGATGCAGAATGTGTTTCTCAGAGGTGTCAACTATAATAGATTT